AAAACACTGAAATTTTATTATTAAAAGGTTTTAACTTGAAATTCTAGACTAAACTAATAATTAATATTTTTTGAGTAAAATAGTCTACTTAATAGTTGCAAATATTTTTTAATTAAAAATTAATTTATATAAATTCAACTACTTTATATGTATGCTGAAATAATTACCTTACTTAATAATCAGTGATGTCAAAGTTCCAGTTCCAGTTCCGGAACTAATTAGTTCTAGTTCCAGTTCCGGAACTAGAACTACGGAACTAACGATTATCTGGAACTAGTTTGGAACTAGAATTACGGAACTAGTAAGTGCCTGGAACTAGCTTGGAACTGGAACTATGGAACTAGTAAATGTCTGGAACTAGCTTTGGAACTAGTTCTTGGGGGTATATTTTTGACAAAATTTCCTCGAAAATTACCTACAGCGCGCTGAGTATGGAAGAAATCTGGCTGCTTGAGCTCCAAAATTCTAAGCTTGAGCTCCAAAATTCTGCGGCGCTGAAAAAGTTTTTTTGAAAAAGTGGATTTTTTCGGCCTCTTAATCCTCCAGTTTATCCTCCAATCTCCTAAATCCTCCATTATCACTCATAATCCTCTTATAACCCAGATATCACCAAAAATATCCCCAGATATCCTTTTAAATCCATTAATCCTTTCACATCCTCTGATCTCCCCGTTAAAATTTTTTATGTGCGCGGCATCCTGTCCTGTAAAAAATTTTGAAAAAAATCCCGTTACGGGATCCCGTGAATGCGATTTTGCCGCACACTAAATGATTTTTTAAATAAGGCTACTCCCACAATGACATCCGTGTCAAGTGTTGAGTGTTTTAACTTTCAAAAAAACCTTGAAAAGCACTTGACACTCAACGCTAGAGAGTACATGGTGCAGACTGCATGAGAAACCACTCGACACTCAACACTCGACACGGACGACTATCAAGTGTTGAGTGTCGAGTCAATTGTGGGAGTAGTGTTATGCCTTTATTTGTTAAAATTGATAAATCCTTTCATATTCAAAAATTCAAAAATTTGGAACTAGAACTAGCTTGGAACTAGTTCCAGAACTGGAACTGGAACTAAGGCATTTCAAAAATGGAGTTCCGGAACTGGAACTGGAACTACAAAAATTAAAAACCTGGTTCCGGAACTGGAACTGGAACTACAAAAATTAAAAACCTAGTTCTGGAACTGGAACTAGTTCCAGAGAAATCTTGGAACTTTGACATCACTGTTAATAATTACCCCCTCATTTTCTTACACAACTCGTAAATAAATATTAAAAAATCATTGTCAATTTTAATTATTGAAACATTATAAGAATCAATGTCAAAAAATAAATGGATTTCATCCTTGATTTATGAGATATACCCCAAATTTAGCACCTCCTCTCGAATAATTACCCCCTACAGCGAGAGGTCGAAACAATAATTATCCAGGGTGATTATTCGAGCATATACGGTAATAGAATATCATTCAATTCAATCTTTCGCAATTTTCTTAAACAGATTCAATAGAATCAATTAAATAAAATATTTAGGGTTGAGCCGTTCCAACTTCAACACTGATTTTTATCGAATTATAAGAGTAGATTTCTGGGCAACACTAAATTATATAACTAAAAATGTCATGAAAAGTAATTAGACAAAAAATATATAAACACATAAATTCAGGATTTAACATAAAAAAAATATTTCCTATTTTCTAAAGTACAACTCTGAAAATTGTTATTTTCACATTATTTCGTCATCATTCATTAATAAATGTATTATATTTTCTTTTTTAAAGAGTCACGCTATACAAATGGAGAGTACTTTCTTTAATAAATTATGGAAATAATTTATTGAAAAATTGTAAGACTAAGAATATTATTATTAAAAAAACATTTGTCTATCTCAAAATTAAAATTTTTAAATTTTCTTTAAATCTTTAAATACTTCAAAAAGAGAAGACAAGAAATTAATAGAATTTTTGTACTTATTTTATAAAGCAAAAAATAATTGAATAAGAATAGTACAAATTTTTAATCTTTTTTATAATTTCTAGACAAATTATTACTCCGAGCAAGAACAGAGAGTGAGAAGAAGACGAAGAAGTATACAGAGCAAAAATACAAAACGTATGTAGGTAGAAAATGCGGTAATTCTAAGGCTGGCCCCCCCCTTTTTTTTCTGTTCCCCTGACCATTTTGAGATTTTTTTATTGAAATATAATTTACAATATATTATTCGAAAGAGCTGTTCGAGCTGAGTAGAATGATACTATGATCGGATAGATTTGTCGATTTTGAACCAAATTATGAAGCTAAATCCTCGATGGACATGCTTTTTGTGATGTTGAAAGGGATTAAAACAAATGGTCATAACTATGTTTATTTAAGTCGGATTTCGATAAATTTAGTACCGTTCTACTCAGCTTGAAGAGCTCTTTCGAACGATATATAACTTCCTTTAAAAAGTTTAAAAAATAGAAAAAAATTGAAAGGAAAAAAAGGGGGGGGGGACCAGCCTTGGAATTACCGAAAATGCATGTTGAAGATCCAACGCATTGAATCTCGACTGGCTTATATTTATATTATATCCATACACAACATAAATAAACACATACAGTGGCGGAAATTTAAATAGGGAAAAATATTTTTAATTTGATTTTTAAAAATTATCCGGCTAATCATTAATGCAGGATCATGACTTTTATATAGTTTTGTAGCTTTATTTATAAGCTATCAAATGACTAATAATCATTAAAGGAAAAGTTTTCACTTAAGCGAGAAAAAATCATTTATCTATGTCAACTTAAAAAGTGCGCGGAAATTTAAATAGGGAAAATAATTTGTATTTAGTTTTTTATGGAAAATCACTTTAGAAAAAATCTGAAAAAATTTCTGGGACCTTCTCTAGCAATATGATGAGGAATGGCAAAAAATCTTAATTTTAACCCAACTCCCTCACCGAGATCTCGAGGCCTAAAATCAACGGAAAATGGGGGTGATTTGTCTCAAAAAATTATTTCGGCCCATCTGACACAGATAGAAATTTTCTTTCTTGATAGGTTTGAAGCCCATAAAATTTGATATAAAATAAGTCTTATGCCATTTTTTTAAAAAATTCCTTCTCCGAGATATAGGCTGAAACCTTTTAATTTAGGGAAAAATGTGTTAAATCAGTCATAAATTTCGTAACTAGAAAATCTTCGGTATTCATCTCGAAGAAGAAATTTTTTGAAGGAATGGCATTAAGCCTATTTTGTAGCAAATTTAATGGGCTTCAATCTGAACATGAAAGAAAAATTTTATCTAGGCCAGATGGACCAAAATATTTTTTAAAATCAGATCACCCTCAAATCACCCCCATTTTCCGTTGATTTTGGGCCTCGAGATCTCGATGATGGAGTTAAGGTAAAATTTAGATTTTTTTGCCATGCTTCATCATATTGATAGAGAAGGTCCCAGAAATTTTTTCAGATTTTTTCTAAATTGATTTTCCATAGAAAAACTTAATAAAAAAATTTCCCTATTTAATTTTCCGCGCACTTTTAAAGTCAAGATAGATAAATGATTTTTTTCCGCTTATATGTAAAGTTTTCTTTTAATGATTAATAGTAATCTGATAGCTCATAGATAGAGCTACAAAACTCTATAAAAATAATGACCCGATATAAATGATTAGCCGAATAATTTTTGAAAATAAAATTAAAAACATTTTTCCCTATTTAAATTTCCGCCACTGTAATTCCAAACAATATCTTTAAATAAATATAATTTTAGTGGTATTGGTTAATTAAAAAATTATTTTTTTATTTAAAAAAATTTTTTTAAATTACCTATTCTATTTTTAGGTATATTTATAATTTTTAGAGACCAAAAATACTTAACTAATTGTTTACAATTTATTTATTGTTAAAAATATTAATTATAGAAAAAATGGGTAAATAATGGTTTTAATGAGTCATAAAAATATTAAAGTATCATTAAATGAGAAAAATGCTCGTTTGTCTTTATTGTGTTTTAATTATTGAACAATTGTTTTTTTGGAAGATTATTTTTGTTGCACAAATTTTTGAAAGCTTTGGCTAAAAATAAGTTTTTAAAGGTGTAAACACGTGCGTTAATTTTTAAAAATTAGAGGAATATAAAAGAAGTAGAAATTTGACAAAAATTTCATTTTTTGCTGATAAAACTAAAAATTAATTTTTAATATTTATTTGAGAAATTTAAAACAATTTGAAAATTACATATAAAAGAATGTCAAAAATAATTTTGGTTTTTTGCCTTTTCGCATTATTCGCGAACATTTTGTCTTACAACACCGATAAAGAAAATACAAAAATTGAGAATGGCAATAATAAGGTAAATTATTAGAGAATTATTAGTTTTATAGGGATTAATAGGGCGGTTGATTGTGGATCGGAATCATAAAAATTGAAAAAAAATTTGGAACCACTTAATTCAATATATACTTTTCACAACCATAAAAAACAATAATTTTCATAAACACTTTTTTTAATTTTTAAAATAATTTTTTAAATTAAATTTATATTTAATATATTTAGCAAGTTGATATTTTTGGATCACGTATAAAACGTGCAATACAATGGCCATGCTTTAATTTTATGAGATATTGTTGTTATGATGGATGTCGTGGTTTTGGTTGTGTTTCTAGTGCTTGTGCTCAGTGTTGCTAAGACGAAGATGGCTATCAGTTTCTGATAAGCTAAGAAAAAGACTATCAAAAATAAATTTTATAAATTTTTTATAACGCGCTAACTCGAGATAAACGTTGATCAACGTGAATATTTGTACAATTTTTTTTTAAAATATACAAAGGTTTGTACAAAGACCTGCTTAAAATCCTCCAATATTTTGGATTTAATTCTACAAATTATTTTCTAGAATTTTCTGAATCGAATGCTTTTTTCCCAAAAATTAATTTACAAAAACTAACACTAAATTAAATTTATTTACTTAGAAAATTCACACAATTTTATTTAATTTCTAACTATTTATTTAATCCTCTTCTTGATTTGAATGACTTATTATTGAATCCTTTTCTGAATTTTCTTCTTCCTTATTATTTTCTTGACGTTCACCATTTACTGCATATAAAGCTGAAGAAGCTGTCCATAATGGAGTTCCGTTTCCAAAAGAAGTATTCTTAAAAATAGTAAAGAGTAATATCAGTTATCGAGTAGATATTAATATCCATTCCCAATTAGAGAACATTAAGCGTTCCTATTAGAGATCGGTCTGGATCTGGATCCGCTCTGGATTTTTCTTGGATCCATATCAAGAATACTATCCAGGTTACTAACCTAAATCCAGATCCAGGATTTTAAAAATACCGATATCTAGTTGCTTTTATCAAGCAGAATATTTTTAAAAAGGGTGGAATTAAAAAGGAATTTCCCCAAAAATTTTTTAAAATTATATGTATTATTCCTAATTAATTTCTCACATGAAGAGAAGAACTATGCTCAACAGAAGAATGCCGAATTGGATAATAAAGCACATTATTATGAAGTGCTGATGTAGTAGAAGCAGAAGTCTTAACTCCTTTACCTATAAGCATTTGAATATTTGCTGTTGAACGACTTTTCGCTCTATATTTAGCAAGTGAATTTTCTGCAGTATCTGCACGTTCTTCTGCATCCTCCAATTGATATTGGATATGGCGATATTTATTTAAATTCATGGAGGCCATTTGTTCCTAAATTGCACTTTTAAAATTTAGATTAAAAATATTTTGCTGAAAGGACAGCCCACTTAAAATATCAAAAGCCACACAAATTTACGCATTCCCAATGGAAATGCTTCCAAAAATTAGGGTGAACCCAAAAGCGTCCCCCTGCACGGAAATCTTTAGTAAAAGGCGAAATATCTTCGTCCGATTACGAAGATCTCTTCCTATCAACCTATGCCCTATAGTTAATTTGATTTATAAAAATCTCTTCAGTAAATTTTCATTATATTTATTCTCTCAACTTCATAAAAATAATTTTAATATATGTAGGTATTTTTATTTTTAAACTCACCACTTCTTCATTTTGCTTCTTAAAAGTCTTTAGTTTTTGCTGCAATCTCTCAACTAATTGGTAAAGTCTTTCTTGGCCTTTTTTATCTTCATCAACTTGAAATTGAAGTTCACGAACACGACGCTCTTTGCCCCGAAGTGCTTTTTGGGTTTCTGTATGCCTTCTGGCTTCCGCCTCTAATTCTGTTGTTAATTCATGGACACGTTGCTCTAACTTTAAAATTTTTTATTTAAACATTTTTTGAATTTTTGGCAGAAAATAAAAATTTTTTTTAAATATAACACCTTAGCAAAAGCCTTCTTTCCGCCCTTCATGGCCAACAATTCAGCCTCATCTACTCTTAGATGTAAGTCCTTTGAAAAAATAATTTTACCAATTTCGAGGATTTTCAAATGTCTATACCTTAATTTGCAATTCCAAAGCTTTTCTCTGTCTTTCAATATGCTGAGCATGGTCCTGCTCTTGACGTAATTCTTCTGCCAATCTAGCACAATCACTTATTGCCCTCTTAGCTCTTTCATCAGAAGCTCTTAATTCATTACCCATTTCATTAAGGTCAGATTGTGCTAATCCTAAATCTGCCTCAAGTTTGCGTTTCGAAGCACTTAATGAGATTGTCTGTTGTTCAAGTGAGATTAGTGCTTCTTTCATTTCTTGAGAATCAATGTCAAGCTGTCGGCGAGCTTTTTCTGTCTAAAAATCGGGAAAACTTAAATCTTTGTCTAGAAACTAGGGTTTCACCGGAAGTTCCGGTTCCGGAAAGTTCCGGTGTTTTTTTGGTTCCGGTCCGAATCCGAACTCTACTAGAAACCCGTCATAAACCAAAAATACGGACTTAATCCGCAAATGTTTGTATTTGAGAATTCCTTCCCTTTACCACTTATATCTACAAGAAATTTAAAGAAACACACTTGTTCCAAAGCAATAATAGCTTCTTCCCTCTCTTGTGCTAATTGGTGAGATCTACGTTCCGCATTCTGTGCTTGTTCATATAGAAGTTCTCTTTGTTGTTGTTCTGAATCTATTTGTTGTTGAAGTTCCCTAATTTGTTCCTGTTGTTTTTTCAAATGTTTCTGTGACTCGTAATTAGCCCTATTTGCATGATCCAAACTAATTTCCATTTCTCCAATATCGCTTTCTAATTTTTTCTTTGTTTTGGCCAAATCTGAACGAGCTCGACTTTCAGCTTCAAGTGTCGCCTGAATCGAGTCAATTGCGTGTTGGTGTGTTTTTCGTGTATTTTCGAATTCTTCTTCTTTTTCTGCTATCCTTTTCTCTATTTCTGCGCGAATTTGAGAAATTTCTACCTAAAACTTAACAAAAAATGAAATTCTGATAAAATGTTAAGACCTGCCCTCGTAAAACTTTATTTTCCTCCGACTCTAATGCTGATTCGGCGCTTTCTAGTGCCAATTGCAATTCTTCCTTTTCAAGTTCCAATCTCCGTTTAGCTTTTGCTAATTCATGCTCCCCACGACTTCCCTCACTAATCTGAGAAGATAAATCACGCAATTCTTCCACTAATGATTTATTCTCCCGTCGGAGACCTTCCACCTTTTCTTCAGTTTCTTCAAGTAGAGAGCGAAGACGGAGGACCTGGTTAAAATATTTTTATTACAATTTTTAAATTCAAAGATTCTTCAAAAATAATTCATTAAAACCCTCACTTCAGTTCCAGAAATTCTTGTTTGCCTTTCAGCAGCCTCAGCCTCAGCTGCCAAAGAATCACATTTCAATCTCCAATCATCCAAAAGTTTATCTACTCCTTTTTGTTTTTTCTCAAGCTGAGTTAATGCTTGCATGGCACGTTCAGCTTGGAGTTGAGCATCGTCTAATTCTTGAGCCTGTCGATGCTTTACTTTCTCTAAAGTAGTAATTCGTTGTTGGGCCTGTTCTAACTGTTCAATGACTTCTTCTGATTTTGCCTTAAATTATTTTATATAATATTATTTTATGTATTCTTCAAAAATCCCTACAATAATTTTCCTTCGTTGTTCCTCCAACTCCTCAGCACGTAATAGACCCTCTCCCTCATATTTAGCTCTCCATTGTTGAGTTTCAGCATTTGCTTTACTTATTTGTCTCAGTAAATCACTTTTGGTTTCCTGCTCCTCTTCTATCTGTTCACGTAGTTGGTCACATTGTAAGCGAGAATTGGAAAGCTAAATTAGAAGTTAATTACATATACTCGAATAATCAAAACTTGTTGCATGAGTTCAAGTCTTTCACGATTTTCTTGTTCCAAAAATCGTTGAGATTCTTCGAGTTGACTAGCTAATTTAATCTTTGCCCTTCCCAATTGAGCTATTTTCTCTTCAGTTTCTTCCAATTGCTTATTAAGTTCAGAGATATCTGTTTGAGCACGTGATTTGAATGATTGAAGTTCTGATACCAAACGGGTTTGGTCTTCAGATTTTGCCTTAATTGGAATAAAAGAACAATTAATAATCTTAATAAGTAGCAGATTTAAGCACCTGCCACTCAATAGCTTGGGCTTCCCAATGCTTGGCTGTTCTCTCATCATTTTTCTTCTGTTTAGTTTCAGTATCTAATTGTTGTTGAAGTTGTTCAATTTCTTTTTCCATTTGAATACGATCCCTTTCAGCTTTGGAACGGGCCTTTTGAACTGCTTCGAGTTGTTCAGAAAGAGAAGCAGTCACATCAACATTTTTCTTTTTAAGAGTCTGAAGGGCAGCTTCATTCTGAATAGCTGCTTCTTCCTATTAATTTTAGTCAAAAGTTTTTTTTCTTCACTAAAATTTAACCATTTCCCGCCTCATCCTAGACATTTCTGCCTCTCGCCGTTTATTCATCTCAATTTGGGCAGCTCCCGCCCCACCCATTTCATCAAGACGTTCAGTAAGTTCATCATTCTCAACTTGAAGTTCATTACGTGCTTTCTCTGCCCGAACACGCGCAGATCTTTCAGAATCTAATTCATCTTCTAATTCTTGAACACGAGAGACTAATTCTTTTATCTTTTAAAATATTTTTTTATCAAAAATTAATTTCATTTAATGTCGAACCATATTTTTGGATACCCATTTAGGGCTAAAAAGCCGTACTTAATGATTTAAATCAAAGTTTACCCTAATTTCTGGCTATATAAAAATGAGTTTCGACTGAATTTGTAAATACCTGTTTTTGAAGACGAGCAACTAATGAATGTTCTTCTTCTAAACGTGAAGTCAAAAGTTGTGTTTCAGCTTCTTTTCTATAAAAAATCATTTTTTATGAATTTCCAAATATTTTTTCATTAAGTTCATTCTATGTACCTCTTTACAGCATTCTCCAATTCCTCCCGCTGTCTGCCTAATTCCTCTAGGTTTTCATGCGCAATTTTAAGTTCTCCCTCAGTTTTACGTTTTTGTTTATCCAAATCCTGACGTGCCTTCCTTTCACGTTCGAGCGTTTCTTCAGATTGGTCCAATGTTTGTTCCAATTTTTGACGAGCACGATTAAGTTGAGCAATCCGTTCTTCGTATGAATTGACCTCATCAGTTAATTTTCGATTAAGCTTAAATTTAAAAACAGTCAGACCTCATTACTTGGGGCTGATTTTTTGCTATTACTTGGGGCTGGAAAAGTTATATTTTTAAAGAGGATTATTATAAGTGTTTATTCTCTTGTCAATGACCAAATTTTAAAAACTGTTTTAGACTGAGGTCTGAATACCGTATTTCATCTATTAGAATGGCCACCTTCAATAGAATGGCCACTTCCAATTGAATGGCCCTCTGGAGGATGATTGAAAAATAGAATGGCCGGCCATTATTAGAGGAAATACGGTATCTGTATTTCAATTATTCAAATAATTTTTTCACTCACCTCCTCTTGATGTTTCCTTTCTTTTCCAAGTTTTGCAACAGTTTCATCAAGAGATGCAATCTCATCCTGATAGATTAAATATATACATATCAAAAATTAAAAAATATTAAAGTTTCCTTTTAAATTAAAAATATTCAAAATACCTGCAGTGAACGTGTTTGTGCTTCACGAGTTTGTCTATCGCTTTCCTGCTTTCGCAAATTAGAATCGGCCTCGGAAAGCTGTTTCCTAAGCAATTCAATGTCTGCTTCAAGCTTTTTTCGAGCTTTTGCCATTGAAGCATAACCGTTTTCTTCTTCGGCTAATTGCTCAGACATTCTGTCAAGCTACATATAAATGAAAAATATTTCTTGGATTAAAGAGGAATAATGCTTGAATTAATCAAAACATAAAATGCTAAAATAATTGAAAGCATGTTTGACTTGTGTTTTGATTCACTACAAAAGCTAAAAACACACTTAATTGAAGATTAGTCAATGTATTTAAAATTATAAACAAGCTAAATATAATTATTGGCCACTACTTCTAGACATTTTTTAAATTAGTGCTTCATAAATAGCAAATCCCGCCCTACCCAGTATACTTAAGTGTTGCCACTTAATGAACTAAAATGATCAAATATTTAATAGAAGCCTAGTTTTTATTATTTTGATTTATGATCCTTAATTACTCAGAAAGATTTCTCCAGCGAAGGTTAAAAAAGATTAATATTTGTAGGCGAAGGTAAACAAGAAATTAAGACATATATTTTATATTTTAGAAATTAAATTAGGAAAAAAAATTTTCCATCCCGCTCTACCTGCCGTTCCAGCTCTGCTTTTTGCCCATCAGTTCTCTTAGCATATGTCTCAGCTTCAGCATACCTATCCCTCTCACGTGCTAATGCCATTTCAAGCTGTTGACGTTCAGCTTTTAAACGCTCAGTTTCTGCCTCTAATTCCTTCCTTCGTTTTTCTTCGCGAGCAAAATCAGCTTCGAGACGAGAATAATTTTTGTTAATATTTTCCAATTCAGCAAAAGAATCCTCGCGTTGTTGATTTTCTTTGATAAGAGGGCGGACGCGGCCTAATAGCTTAAACCAATTCCAACCACGTAGAGCACACCATGTACGGACATTACGTTGAATTATTTTAATGCCAGCCCTTTCATTTAATAATTTTTTTAAATTTGAGAAATAAAAAATCCAACTTTTGAGCTCGCCGACGCTGAAGCTCTTTTTGTGCCAGATAATAACGGCAAACTCGCTGGAATTCGGCAATAATTTTAGCCAAAGCTTCGTCACGGTGTTGTTCTAGTGAGGCGAGAACACCAGTTTTGAAGAATATCTAAATAAGAAATCATGTAACCATTAGGTAACAAATTATAGGAAATAATAGTTATAAGTCGGTTAAGCATTAGGATCAATTAAGAATATGGATTCAGAAAAAAACATTCTCACTTTAGTTTTTCCACATTGAAAGCTATCCGAATTAAGTATTCCTTCACGCTCCATGCGTTCACACATTCGTTTTCCTGCCAGTTCAACAGATACAGGTTCAATAGCTTCTTTAGCAGCAAGTACTGCATAGCGTTGACGAAAGTCGAGATAATGGACCTTTTTTATTAACTTTATTTATAAATTCATTTTTTAATAAATTAATAAAGCTGAACTAATAAACTATATTTAATGAGCATCTAATTTTTAAAAAAATGTTTAAAACCCTACCCTATTTGGAAAACCTTTCCGACAGATTCGAATACCCTCTAAAACACCATTACAAGTAAGTTGATTAAGTACCAAACCAGCATCTATTACACCTGCCGTTTTCTGTTCATTGGGGATAATACAACGAATAAAATGGGGATGGGTTTGATTAAGCATCTAAAAAATTTTGGATTTTAATAAAAATAATTTTCTTTCAAAATTTTTTGGCACCTTAATTAAATTAGCCAATGATTGTCTATAAATCATTGAAACTGTTTGGAAGGTGGATGATTTTCCCTTTTTTGCCTTTACCGCAGTTCTACTACTATTAGAAAATCTTGAACTTCCTCCATTTGAAAGTAACTGTTCTTCCTTAAAATTATTTCATTTTTCAAAAAATTTATTAGATAATTTTGCCTTCTTTTCATCTTCCTGTGTTTGGTAATCTTCCCAAATAAATTTAAGTAAAGACATTCCGGGGTTTGATTTTAAAACGGCAACAACAGAATCATTGAGAGGGTCTTTATTTTTTTCAAGCCATGACTGAGCATTATATTGAACAGTTCCGGCATAATGAATAACGGCAAAATGAGCTTCTGCCTTAATTATTAAGTAAATTAAATATTTAATTTAAACATTATTTTTGCCTGTTTTCCCTTTGGAGGCTTCGGTCTCTGATAATTGGCATGTTTCCCCATATGTTGGTCATTTAATTTTTGTACAAAGGTATTGTCAGTAGCTTTAGGTACAATACATTCTTCATCTAACATTGAGATTATTCCAAGAGGCTGAAGTTATTATTAAGATTATAGATCGGACTGGGAGTGTCGTACGAGAATCGTAAGCTCGAAAAATTCTCGATCTCGATAACCGTGATTTTCGATCGAGATTTCGTTTTCGGTCCAGTCTCTAATTAATATTATAAAATAAGATTATAATTTAAGATTATGTTAACTAAACTCTCCCAAATAACCAAACTTGCCCAAAAAATCTTTTCAACTAAATCACCTTTTCAATTAATTCAATACATGGTTGAAGATCTAATCCAAAATCTATAAATGCCCATTGGATACCCTCACGTTGATATTCTTCCTGTTCTAATATAAACATATGGTGATTAAAAAATTGTTGAAGTCTTTCATTAACAAAATTAATCCATAATTGTTCAAAAGAATTTAATTCGAATATTTCAAAGCCAGCAATATCCAACACCCCAATAAAATGTTGCCCTTCTCTTTGTTGCTTGTCTCGAACATCGAGTGTTGCATTACAACGTCGAATAAGCCAGGCAAACATTCGGGCATATAAAGCTTTTGCGAGGGCCCCAACAGAAAAGTTTACCTTAGTGATTTTATTTTATTAACAAGTAATAATTAGGGTTGTTCCCTATCGGGGGGCGGGCACGGGGAACTATTTTCGGATAGGCAGCACTACGGGGGTGGGGGGGGGGGGAGGTTGGCACGGGGAATTTTCAAAAAAATGTCTCAAATTCCCCGACTTTCAGGGACGGGGAACAACCCTAGTAATAATCAACAAAATTTTTATTTTCTCACTTGTTCCAAATTTTGACCTTTATTAACCCATTCAGCACCGATCTTTACACGCGGTCGAAGAATAGCAGTTAAAAAAGCATCTTTGTCAATTCCAAAAAGTTTACAAGCTATTTCACCTTCTAAAATTTAACTAAAGATTCTCCTTCCAATTTAAATTAAACACCTTTAATATCGTCAGCCTCAGCCTGTTCCTCTCTTGGACGTTGCTTAAAGCGCATTTCACCCATATGCATTACTGCAGCAACTAGGGCATACATTTCGAATTTTTCTTTTTCAGTAAACTTTAATTTAAAAAATTCTAAAAAATTTTTTTTGTCAATTAAACCACCTTCATAATATCGAAAGATTCATCAGTAATTAACATTTCTTCCCTATCATCTAATCCTTCTATAGCAACCTCTGCTTGGGCAACAAAATGATAATCGCTTATTGGGCGATTTAAATAAAGCTTTTCTTTAAAAATAAAAATTTAAGGGAATAATTTCTCTTTTTAAAAATCAACTACTTTTAAGTCCATTAATTCCATTAGACATTATTTGGTAGAAAATGTGATAAGATCTTTCTCCTCCCAATTGTTTTATTACTCGAGATTTTTCCAACAAATCTTTTAATTAAATTTACTTTAAAATTTAATATTCATTAATTACAATGTTCAATATCTCCCCCTGTCAATCGTCCAGCTTTGTTGAAATGTATACGAATAAATTTTCCAAAACGAGAAGAATTGTTATTTCTAATTGTTTTGGCATTTCCTTAAATTTTCTCAATTAACAATAAATTCTCAATTAATAAATAAATTTCCACCGAAAGCTTCCAAAACAGGATTAGTCCGGACCACTTGTTCTTCCAATGTTGCTGTATCTTTGGTTGAACTACTCCGCCTTCTTGTTGTTGAACTTGCACTAGGTCCACCAACTACAGCAAAATATCCAATCACTTTTTTAGTGTTTTCTGTCTTTCCGGCACCAGATTCTCCAGTTATCAGCATTGATTGATTCTCTTTTTTTAGATAATTTTGGGAAAATTCTAATCTCTCAATTACCTTGTTCATTCATCATATTTCTATAAGCTTCATCACAAATAGAAAAAATATGTGGGGGCATTTCGTTTCGACGCCTTCCTAAATAATTAATTAAAAATTAAATTTTATAATAAACTAACATAAAATTCAGATAATATTTTTACTATAATTATTCAAAAAAATATTCCCCTACCAATATACATTTTACAAACACTTTCAGAATATATCGGCAAACGTTTATAAGGATTAATCGCAACACAAAAAAGTCCAGAATATGTATATATCATTGTATTAGCATATCGTTGCCGTAGATTGTGAAGAACAGAAGCTTCATTGAGGTGTGTTAGTTCGGCCATATCCTCTTTAATTATTAAATAATTAAAGTTTTAAATGTTTTTAAAAGTATTAATGTAATATTTATTGCTAATATTTACAAATTATCGCGGATGTTGTTTCTCTTTTAGCTTTTTGAAATACATTAGCAACATCCCTGTTAAGTATCAGGAATACATAAATCCGACGTAGAAAATAAATTCCCGATTTTGGGGAATTTGGATCTCTGGTATATATGTTCGAGCTTTAACCCCTACTCAAGAAAATATAAAAATTATTCTTCTCCACATATTCATAATTATCATTAATAATGATTTTATGCACCTCAAGTAATTAAATTTAAAATTTGTTAACATACCACTCATTTCAAACTTTGGTGGATTCCTTGGTTGAACTTCCTCCTTTGCCAGTTTTCTCTCAATTCCTTTCTCATTAATTATAACGGTTATCATTTCTGCTCCATTTTTGGATAATGATGGAGTAACAGTTGATTTTATTTCGGCAGCAATAAACCCCTCTTCTGGATCAGGAATCCAAACGCTCCTTTTTGGATCAAACTTCTTTCCAGAAGTTAAATGTTGGGCTGTTAATAACTAATAAAAAATAAATATTTTTTATTAACTGACAAGAACCTTAGCTTCACTTTGGCGCAGATAGGGCCAGGCAGGGTCTTTTAGAAATTTTTCAGGAAGAGCCATGATTAGTTAAAGATTTAGTATTTATTATTATTATTATATTTTTCTTTTCTCAAAATTTAAAAAAATTATATGAAATTTTGAAAGTAAGCGAAAGAAATGTGATATGTATTTAGCAGAAACGAGATGTTAAATTTACTTTTTAATAAATATTTAAATAAATTAAGTAAGTAAACAAAAATTTTATTTAAGTAAAATAGGAAAAATAATAAGTTATTATTTCGAGAAAATTATAAATGTTAAACAGGTTGTTTAAATTTAAAAATTTTTTTGATATTTTAAAATAGCTGGAGCGCCATAGAATTTTAAATAAAAATAATTTCCCAAAAATATCTGTGCAAAATTCAACTATTTTTTGCTTAATCATTTTCCTTAAAGCTTTTCTTGATTTAAAAGTGCTTTTATTTTATTATATTTTCATCCAATTATTAAGAAAACATGTTTTCCAAAATAAGTAGAAATGTGTTTTTTTGGGTGTTTTCTGTCGAGGCTTATTATTATACAATTTAAAAAAAAACTCTGAAAAATTTATTAAAAATAAATTTAAAAATTATTTAAAACAAAAACTATACAGTATTTAATAAATTTAATTGATTTACTAACAAATAACGGGATTTTTTTTTTATCAAAGAAATGTTGCTTAATAGACACTTTAAAATTACTTTGTTTAATATTTGCTTTTTTGAACAGAAGCAACGTTCAAATAATTATCGGACTCGTACTTAAAAATATTTTTATATTAAGTGGAAAATAAAAAAAGGACTTCTTGAGTGGCTACTTTTTTGATAAGCACCTAAAATCTCTATCTCCAGCCATAATATTTTTGATCAAACAAATTTTTTGAGGAAACAAACAAATGCGCAAAAATATAAAAAATGAAAGGAGGAAGGAAAGAATATTTGGGAAATAATGAAGATATGTATTTGTGAGAGGGGAGTGATTTACTTAAAGTTAATTTCTTTAAAATGAATCATATGATGAGTGTTTTTATTAGAATGTAACATTTTATAAAGGTGGATAGAACTGTTAAAGAATTTATTAAAATATAATATATAATTAATATAATAATTTAAAGGAATTTTCAAATCATAATAAAAAACAGAGGCAATTGAGAAATTAAAGCAATCCAGCTTGGGAATTAATAGTAAAGCTTAATTAAATCTACAAATCAGAATGTAATCAAGTTTAGGATTAAATATTTAAGCTAGTGTAGCAACCCGACACTTTGGGGCGGGTGTGTCGTGGATCGGGGTGTGCCGGGGAAGGCATGTCGGGGTTCGGGGTCGGGGTTGACTTTTCGGTTGGGGTTTGTAGTCGGGGATTCAGGGGTCGGTTTGCTACTCTATTTTAACAATAAACCATAATTCGAAGATTTCAAATAAAAATAGCAACGCAATCTCTTTTTTTAAATAAAAATCAGCAAAAATTTCATTAATTAAAAAATATTATTAAATGTTGTAATTAATATATTTTTCATTAGAAATTTCATTTAATAAGAAATAAAACATATATACATTTTTATTTTACACCTACGCGATTTTATCTTATGGAAAAACTACTCTTGGTGACTTTACAGCAAAATCCAGAGTAATCTATATTTTTTGATTTTATGTGTTTAAAATATTTTATAAGATCAATCTGAACGATTAATTTATAATTTTGTTTTAAAAAAATATTTAAGCTATTATTTTTTGTCTAAATAATTAGCAGGGTCGGGGTCCCGATCCGGCCCTGTCCGAAAAATTAAGTCGGGCATTGAATTCTGGACCGAAAAACATTCGCTCAAGCCGGCCCGAAAAAATGACTCGGTCAGGCCAGCCCAAACTCGAAAACCCTAACCCTAATTATTAGTAATATTTTTAAATGAGTAATAAAATTATTTTTAATGCTAATTAAAAATCTACATAATTAAATAAAAATAATTTATAAATAATTTATTCCTTTTCAAAATTAGAGCAACAATTGATATTAAAAGGATATCACAGAATTATTTTTTATAATTTATTTATATTTTTCTTTCTCAATTAATCATTCAAAAACTAGGTTTCGGAATATATGATGCTGGAGGAGGATAGTAGGCAGGTGGAGGTTGTGTTGGTGGTGGAGCATATACCGGTGGTGGTGGAGAAGGTGGGGATGGTGGAGCATATGCTGGAGGTGCTGGTGGCGCAGGTGGTGGTTGAGGAGGGCCATAAGCAGGAGGAGATGGTGGTACGTATTTTGGTGGTGTTGTTGGCGCTGGGGGTTGTGGCTTGTTCCAAGGATTCTCTACATAATGCCATTCACCAGCTGGGGGCGCTTTATAGCTGAAAAAGAATTTTTGAGAAAATTAGATTCGAGACTACCTTGGTGGTGGTGGAGCATATGCTGGTGGCGGAGATGGAGGAGGTGGTGGAGCATAAGTTGGAGGAGCTGGAGGCGAAGGTGGTGGAGCATATGCTGGTGGTGCTGGAGGAGCTGGTGGTGGAGCATATACCGGGGGTGGTGGTACATATGGTTTTGGTGTAGTTGGTGCTGGTGTTGGTGGCACGTAAGGTGGAGGCACGTATGGAGGCGGTTGTGGAGGGCCATATTTAACCGGTGGAGGCACATACGGTGGAGGCGGTGGAGGGCCATAAGCATTTCGTTTCACGATGTTGTCTGGACCTGACAATGATGCTTCATGAAGAAGTAACGAAAAGCTAATTAGAAATAAAATTATTTTCATATTTAATTTATTTTTGAGGGTAGAATGTATTGAGAAGTGATGCTGGATAGTTCAAACTCCAAGCATTTTATAGGCACAATGATGATTATGCTAACATTTAATACAAAAATTGACTGTTAAATGATTAGATAATTTTGTAAATTTTTCCAAAAACGTAAATATCACAAGCATAATTTATTAATGTCGAATTTAATAAAAAAGGCCATTGAAGTCAAAAATTATTAAACAATTATTTATGAATCATTTTTAACAATAAATATGTTTAATATTTATTAATCAGATAAATATTTATTAGACTTAATTTAAAAATTTTATTAAATATTATTTTTGCGATGTATTAATGTGAAAATGACTGTTGCAATATTTTGTAATAAATCTTGAAGACAATAAAAAGTATGTATATTATGAAAAATACTAAAAATTACAAGTCTGAGCTTTTATTAGTGCCCGAAGAATTATTTATTAGGGTCCGAAAACTGAATTTGAGATTTCGTTTAATGCCAAAATGGATAAGATATTTTTCTGAATCTTGCACTAATCAGGAGATCGCCTAAAATTCTTAGGACGTGGACTTTGGAAAGGGCACGGACTGTGTAAAAATCGGGCCGGTGTTGAACACTAGTTATTATGTATTTATAAGATATGTTCAGTACTTCCTTATGGATAAAATTAAATATTTATTTATTTTTATTTTTTTTATTTATTTCCTCCTTCATTCACTCAACTTTGAAAAAAATATTTTTTTATTCAATTTTTAATTGTGCTCCCCAAGGAACACAAAAACAGCAATAGGTCACAACAAAGCCTTTCTAACCCTTCCTTCCCAAAATAATTTTACTTGGAAAAAATTTAAAAGGAATTTAATTATGTCTAAATAAAAAAATATTTTTATTCTTAGCAGAATTCTTTTAAAAAATTTTTTTGCTTTTTTTGTTATTTTTTTGTTATTGATAATAATAAATATCTGCGGAAGGATTAATTAAGAAATTTTTTTTAGCTTAATTAAATAAACTTTTCTATGCAATCCAATTATCTAATTAAACATATAGCTTCAATTAAATACATTATAAGAATTATTAATGTAATTTTAAAAATATCTTTTAAGTCCCAAGTTAGGTAAAACCATCTTTTATTTTAGAAAGGCTTTCCCTTTATTTTCTTTGTACATAGAACAATTATTTTAAATTTTCCATGAAATTCTTGCAACAATTTAAACAAATGTCCTTTATAAATAAAATTAAGTATGTATTGGGAAACTTTTTTGTTTTATAATAATTAATATTTTATTATCTACAAGAAATATATAAAGGAATAAAGGAGGATGTAAAAATTAATTTAATTTAATTTAAAAGCATAGAATTTAAATAAACCTTAGGGATGAAAACAATTATGTGTAAAATCGAGGTTTATTTAAAATCGAAGATATCGTTTAGAAAAGTCCCCTACCCTGTAACAAACCAGGTTTTACAAAATATATTTAAAATATTTTTGAAATTTTTGGTGTATGTTAAGTTATGGTCCAAATGTTGTACATACACATCTTTTATTCTTCTGTGTTTTATTTAAAAATATTCTTATCATTTTTTGAATTATATTTTTACTTTTTTTCTACAAATTTTTTACAGACATTTTTATTCCTTTCATTTACTAAAAAATATATCAGTAGAATTTTTGAAGTGTCGAAAGATTTTAAATTGAGATGAAATCTTTGCAAAAAACGGCATTATAAATGGAAAATATCCAAAATCTGATAATTCCAAAAAAAGCTTCCTACTCCCTTCTTACTTTTTTCTTTTTATTTTTTAAAATTTTTATATTTTTCATTGACACTTTATTTAAAAAATCCTTTTATTGCCCTTTGCTTTTTATATTTATAAAAGCTATTGACTTTCCTTTTTGGTTGGTCTTCAGGGAGTTTTTTCCAGGAAGAAAAACTTTTTTTTGGTATTGAAGAAAGTAAAAAAATGTTGGAAATAAAGGGGGAGAAGAAGTTGCACAGAAAAGTTTATTTTTATATAAAAGTATTTATTTTAAAAAAAGGGGGAAGGGGAAGAAGGAAGGGGAATTGAAGAAGGAATTTTTGAATGAAGAGGAGAGAGGAGGGAGAGAAAAGACAATCTCCAATCCATCTACTAATACGTACTACTATATATTTTATGGCATTCTTATAGACTATTATCCTTTGTTTTTTTTAATTTATTTAAATTAAAGTCAAATTTAATTAAGCTGGGAGAATAGAAAAATGCCTGTTTTGTTTTATAAATATTTTCTTTAATAAATAAAAAAATATTTTAATTA